TCCTTCTGGTCAGGAGAAACATCCTATCTAAGCCACAGTGTTTCACAGCCACACCTTCCTCCCTTGCTCCCCATCTTGTCCCATCCCAGGGTCCTGGCAAAACATTCTCAATCATGAGACCTTTGGGAAAACAGAGAGGACTATCTTGTGGCAGCTCCTTCTCCTGACCAGTTAGCACAAATCTATCCCAAGGCGTAGCTACCTTTGTGCCTGTAGTGGTGGCAGGGGGAGCTCAGGAGCAGTAACAGGGAGCCAAAACCAGACATTCACCTCCATAGTGCCCATGCCACTGTGGCAGCAGGAAGAATGGTGTGGTGGTGGATTGGAGACCTGGGTCCTGGCCCTACTCTGGGCCTAAGTGTCTCCATCAGTAAACTTGTTCAGAGGGACCACTCGGGAAGAGTTCCACCCATTCTGCAAACTAGATCTAGAGGCCTCGACCAATTCCCTAACACAGGGGTCCGCAGCCCCCAGGCGGGGGGCCGATACCTGTCCGTGGCCTTTTAGGAATGAGTTGCACAGCAGGAGATGAGCCACAGGTGAGTATTACAGCCTGAGCTCTGCCTCCTGCCAGATCAGCCTTGGCACGAGATTCTCAAAGGAGCACAAACCCTGTTGTGAACTGCGCATGCGGGGAATCCAGGTTGCACGTTCCTTATGAGAATCTAATGCCTGATGATCTGAGGTGGAACAGTTTCATCCAAAACCATTCCCCACCTTCCATTCATGGAAAAATTGTCTTCCACGAAACCAGTCCCTGGAGCTGAAAAGGTTGGGGACTGCTGCCCCAGCAAAATGCCCAGTCAGACCCGTTTCTACCTGGATGGTGAGGTTGGGCAGTCCAGAGGAGTGAGGATGATGATGTGTGGGCGTCCAGGTTCAGTGCTGGGAGTTTCCAGTCTGGCTCCATGATCATAGAGGGTGGGGTTGGGGGGTTTGTTAGGAATTTGCAGAGGATATCTAAAGCCTCATTTCAGTAGCTAGAACAGGGGCTCATAACTGGGGTCCACGAACTACAGAATTCAGGCGTCTATGCACTTGGTTTGGAATAGAATACAACTTTATTTTCAGTCACTTCTATTTCCTTGGTTATGAACAAAGGTGGCAAAGTACGTTGTATCAGCAGCCCCAATAGAAACCACAGAGCTTTTCATATCCCTTTACGGTTTGCCACAGGTATCTTTAAATATCATTTAGACTCATCTCTACTTCAATTTGCCATTGCTTAATAGGCCCACCCCTAGATCTTGTTATTCAATATGTTAATAAAGAAATCTGTGTGCATAGTGTCAGGTTACGCTTTTTTTTTTTTTTTTTTTTTTTTTTTTTTTGAGACAGAGTCTTGCTCTTGTCACCCAGGCTGGAGTGCAGTGGCATGAACTCGGCTCACTGCAACCTCTGCCTCTCAGGTTCAAGCAATTCTCCTGCCTCAGCCTCCTGAGTAGCTGTTGATTACAGGCGCCCGCCACCACATCCGGCTAATTTTTAAAATATTTTTAGTAGAGACAGGGTTTCTCCATGTTGGTCAGTCTGGTCTTGAACTCCTGACCTCAGGTAATCCACTTGCCTTGGTCTCCCAAAGTGCTGGGATTACAGGTGTGAGCCGTCATGCCTGGCCCATGCGACACATTTTTAAAATATTTTGACAACTATATATCAGTATAACTAACTTTCTTTGTACTCCTACATATTTTATGTGTATGAAAATATTATTCTGAAATTATCTAGTGGTGTATGCCTGTAGTCCTAGCTACTTGGGAAGCTGAGGTGGGAGGCTCGCCTGAGCTTCAGGATGTCAAGGCTGCAGTAAGCCATGATTTCACCACTACACTCCAGCCTGGGCAATGGAGTGAGGCCCTGTCTCAAAAGAAAAGAAAATATTATTTTGAGAAGTGATCCACGGCACAAAAAATGGCCAAGAGCCCCTGGCTGAGAGGGTCCCTGTTGACACTCATGTGCCACCCACCCAGAGTGAGGACAGCTGCCCAGCTGAGCAGGGGCCTCACAGGAGGAACCAGAGCAGGAGAATCCCTGGCACCACCGTGGCTCCGGGACACACCCCTGGGTGCTCAGTGAAGAAGTGGGGACAACTTGCTGCCATCATCAGTTTGATGGAATGACCTTAGGCCTCTGCTGCCCATTGTGAAAGAGGAAAAGTCACCAGCCTCTTACCAAAAAGCTCAGGGAGATTTAGGGAGAATGTGGATATAGCACAGAGTTCACTGTGGAAAGAAGGAAGGGGAGCCTCCCAGCATTGGATCTTAGGGAATTGTTGCAACCAAATTTAAGGATGCAAAAGCCAAGAGTTGGGAAGAGATTCCTCCCTCCTCAGCTGTGGTTGCAGCACTGCTCAGGGCCATGGAAAAACAGCTTTCCACATTCCTAGCAGACAGCAAAAGCTATTTCAATGTGCCAAGTGAAAGTTGAGCCATGTCCTCATCCAAACTAGCCTCCAGCCTTGCACAGGCAGCTCAGGGCACTGGTGCACACTGGGCTCACCCTTATGGGGGCTGTTCCTCCATTTCCATCTCCCCTTGAGCTGCCCCTCACTGGGAGCAGCGCCGCCCCAATCCTCTGATCCTCTGCTGTCTGTTCTCATGGATGACTCAGGCCCCAGCAAAAACACCCTCTGTTCCTCAAAAGAGGGAATGGAGGGCACGTTTACTGTTAGGAAATGTCCCTCACCTTGCAGTCTGGCTTCCTGATCTCTCTGTTAAGATCTTTTTTTTTTTTTTTTTTTGAGACGGAGTTTCACTCTTTTTACCCAGGCTGGAGTGCAATGGCGCAATCTTGGCTCACCGCAACCTCCGCCTCCTGGGTTCAGGCGATTCTCCTGCCTCAGCCTCCTGAGTAGCTGGGATTACAGGCACACGCCGCCATGCCCAGCTAATTTTTTGTATTTTTAGTAGAGACGGGGTTTCACCATATTGACCAGGATGGTCTCGATCTCCTGACCGTGTGATCCACCCACCTCTGCCTCCCAAAGTGCTGGGATTACACACTTGAGCCACCGTGCCCGGCTCTGTTAAGATCTTTTAAGCCACCCCATCAGCCACAGAACAAAGCCCATCCACCAAAGGTACCTGAGCCCAAATCCCGCCGCCCCCACCCTCTGCCCACCAGCTCCTCTGCCTCCAGGCAGTAGGAGAAGAGACTTGTTTCCTATCACACAGGCCATGTACCTAGTGGGGGTACCAAACACGTGGAACCCCCACCCCACCCCACCCCACCCCCAATCCTCCACCCCCAAACTTGCACTGAGCATCTCCACTAGGTTTTGAAGAAACTTCCCAGGTTTGAGAAAACTCTGTGGGAGGGGGCTGAGGTTTAATTCTGAAGTGGGGACGGCTTGAGAAGACACCTAGGGATGACAGGGAGGGTCTGGGAGTCTGAGAGAACAGAGATGATTCAGGACAGCAGCTCAAAGGTAAGCCTGGGGATGCCCACTTCTGCTTCCTGCTGTGTTCTCCGCCACCTTCCAGACAACATTGGCCTGGTCGGGGCAAAGAAGTGACCAACAGGCCTCTGGGACATCATTCACTCACTCATTATTCATTCATTCACGCGCAGATACTTGCTCACTGTGGGCAAAGGGAAGGGGAGGCCAAACCACACAGCACTGTAAATGCTGCCCACGGAGGGCCTGCAGCCCAGGGGGGTGATGGAGAACAGCTGCCTGGAGGGAGGCCTAAGGTAGAGCCTTGAAGGCCAAAGACAATGATGGATCATGGAGGGCCTTCCACACACAGGCACTAAAAGAAGGCTAAGCCTGCTTAGAGAGAGGCAGTATCTGGACCTGTGCACTGGGCTGCACTGGGCAAAAAAGGCTATGTGTCATGTATTGGGAGAAAATGGGTCCTGTGGTTAAGTATAGTTGGGAAGCGCTGAATTAAATGAGTTGAACGAATCTCTTTACTGCAGGACCTGCCAGGACATGTAACCTGTGAATATAGAATGAAGCTTATGATGGACTCCAGGACTAGTGTCCCATGGGCAGGCCACACTGACATAAGGACTATGGGAGGCAGTAGGAGCTGATGAGATTAAAGAGAACACAAGGGGCTTGGAATGCCAGGCCAAGAAGGCTGGACTTTTTCCTTGGGGCAGTGAGGATTCTCAGCAGGAGACTTAGAGGGAGCTGGACTCAAGGAACCTGCGGCAGTTTAGTAACCAGTAAGGTCAGGGCTGGGGCAGGACAGAGCCAGTCCCCGTCAAGGACTCCCCAACTCCTCGACAGCAGGGTCATTCTGTGGGAGAGAAAACAGAGACCCTGGACACAGCCAGCAGTAAGAGTCTCAGAGAGACTGGCGAGAAGAGGGAAGGCTGGGCAGTGGTCAAGCCTACTTGGGTTCCAGTCCTGACTCTACCACTTCCTAGCTGTGGGAATCTGACCCAATGTCTCTGGGGCCTCAGGGTATTTGTTGCTGTTGTTGAGATGGAGTCTCACTGTCACCGAGGGTGGAGTGCAGTGACGCGATCTCGGCTCACAGCAACATCCACCTCCCAGATTCAAGCGATTCTCCTGCCTCATTCTCTTAGGCTTAGGCAGGAGAATCACCACACCTGGCTAATTTTTGTACTTTTAGTAGAGACGGGGTTGATGTCACCATTTTGGCCAGGCTAGTCTTGAACTCCGGACCTCAAGTGATCCACCTGGCTCGGCCTCCCAAAGTGCTGGGATTACAGGCATGAGCCACCACAACCAGCCTTGTTGTTAATTTTTGTTGTTGTTGAGACAGAGTCTCGCTCTGTCGCCAGGCTGGAGTGCAGTGGCACGATCTTGGCTCTCACTGCAACCTTTGTCTCCTGGGTTCAAGCAATTTGCCTGCCTTAGCCTCCCACGTAGCTGGGATTACAGGCACCCGCCACCACGCTCAGCTAAGTTTTATGTTTTTCAGTAGAGACGGGGTTTCACCATGTTGGCCGGGATGGTCTAGATCTCTTGGCCTCGTGATTCGCCCACCTTAGCCTCCCAAAGTGCTGTGATTACAGACGTGAGCCACTGTGCCTGACCTTGTTTATTTTTTAGAGCAGTTTTAGGTTGACAGAAAGTACAGAGGTTCCCACGTACTCCCTCCCCTTCCCTCTCCCCAGGTTTCCTAATTAGTAGCATTTTGCATTAGTATGGCACAGTTGTTACAGTTTATAAACCAAACCAATACATTATTATTAACTGAAGTCCATAGTTTACTTGAGGGTTCACTCTGTGTTATCCAGTCCTATAGATTGTAACAAATACACGATATGTATCCACCATTACAGTGTCATACAGAAGAGTTTCAAGGCCTTAAAAACACTGTCTGGGCCTGCAGGGTAGCTCATGCCTATAATCCCAGCACTTTGGGGGGCCAAAGTGGGAGGATCACTTGAGTCCAGAATTTCAAGACCAGCCTGGGCAACATAGAGAAACCCCATCTATACAAAAAAGAAAAAAAATTGTTTTAATTAGCCACCTGCAGTCCTGGTACACCTGGGTGGCATCCACCTATAATCCCAGCTACTTAGGAGACTTGAGGTGGGAGGATGGCTTGAGCCCAGGAGGTTGAGGTTGAGTGAGCTGTGATTGTGCCACTGCGCTCCAGTCTGGGTAGCAGAGCCAGACCCAGTCTCGGAAAAAAAAAAAAAAAGCTGTCTGAGCTTTTGTTTTCTCAGTTTTAACACCTGTAAGATGAGTGTGACGCTCCATCTGAAGCCCCTCAGCCTCCTACCGTAGGTTTCTGATGAAGGCCTCTCAACAAATCAAGTGGGACTGAAATCCACTAAATGTCTCGAACTATGGTCTGATATCCATCGGAATCACTAGGCTTGGGTCAGGGCTAGAGGGCCTCATTCAAATGCACATTCTAAGGTCTCAACCCTAGACCTGCTGAGTCACAAGCCCTGGGGTGGGGCCTAGGAATCTGCATTTTAACAAGTCCCCTGGTGCACAGGGAAGTTGAAACCCACTGTGCTCCTGAAGCCTCTGCACATGGAAATTTGTTCTGCCAGAGTTTCTCAGATAAAAACATAGAGGTTCTAGCCACTGGCAGGTCAAGGCTCTGGAGAGCCAGGCCATCTCCCAAAGGGAGGAGAATGGTTGCCATCAAGTCAGGCAAGAGCCCATTTCTGCCTGTGCAGCTCGCAGTCTCCAAGCCTGCTGTTGTTTCATATCTTGATTGCTTATCACTCACCCAAAATAACCTGAATGCAATCGCACCAGCTGCAGCTCTCTCCGCAATTCCCTTAATTTAGCAGCCAAACACATTTGGTTCCTTAACAGAGCGCTAGGCCTCAGCACCAGGCCCAGGAAGGGGCCCTCCCTCCCAGCTATCTGTAGTGAGTCCAACAGTTTCCCCCCCGGAATTCGTGTCCCCCTGAAACCTGAGAATGTGACTTTATTTGGAACTGGAGCCTTTGCAGGTGTGATTAATAAGGGTCGAGATGAGCTCATACAGGATTAGGGTGGGCCCCAAATCCAATGATTGTTGTTCTTAAAAGAGGAGAGAACAGAAGAGACAGAGATTGGAGGAATGCAGCCCAAGCCGGGAATGCCACGGTCTGCCCACTGCCACCATGAGCCAAAAAGAGCCGAGGAAGGATTCTTCCCTGGAGCCTTCAAAGGGACCACGGCCCTGCCAACACCTCCAGCCCAGATTTCCAGCCTCCAGAACCATGAAGGAATCAAGTTCTGCTGTTTCAAGCCACCCAGTGTGTGGTAATTGGTTAGAGCATCCCTAGGAAACCGAAGCAGCCCCCTGGCCTGGCTCAGCACCTGCTCAGCCCCACTCCAGCAGAAAGGAAAGGCCCCCCACTGCAGGCGATTCTCCAGATGGGCAGTTTAATGTGGCCCATTAGAATCAGAGCTATTTTCTCCCAACCAACATTTGAATTCTGCATCTACTAGGCTCATTCCCCACTCAAGGAGAAGGACCCTTCCTTCTGTCCTCTGCTTGAAAGCCTGTACTCCAAGAAGGGCTGAGTTTGGTCGTGACAAATAAATACTGGTCCTTGGGTAGTGTCTGGCCGGCAGTGCCGTGCGAGATGAGTCCCTACAGCTTCATGCCACTCCGGCGCCGCGAGTCCTTCCGGGCAATGGGGCTGAAGTTCACAATCTCCTTGTAGATGTGCTCTGAGAAAGGCAGCATGGTTTAAGGTGGGCAAGGAGGTGCTGAGGGCGAGAAGTCCACCCCCCTTCAGACAGAGCACCGAGAGCGAAGTCAGATCAAGGAGAAAGAAGCAGACAGGAGACAATGCCCATCAAGAAGGAAGGGGCAGGAGCCTCAGGTGGCAGGAAGGGCTGGCAGAGGCCAGGCACAAAGATGGGGGAGGCAAGGAAGAGAGTCTGTGGGTGGAGGCGAAGAAGCCCGAGGCCCCAGCTCTTACGCTTCCATTCATCCACTGTGAGTTTCTCGTGTTCTAAGGAATCATCAAACGGCTGCTGGGCTTCTGTCTCTTCCTCAGGGTCCCGGAAGGGTTCAAAGAAGGGATGGGCAAGGGCCTGAGCGGCCGTCAGGCGCTTGTCCACGTCCAGCTCCAGCATCTTTTCCAGCAGGTCCACGGCTGCAGTGGCAGAGCTGTGAGCCTCACACCAGGCCAGTGAGAGCCCACCCATGGGGGTGTGCTGAGAGGCCCCTGGGGAGGGGACCCTGAGACTCACCCTGGGGGCTGGCCTGTGGGAAGAGCTGAGTGAAATCCTTCTTGGGGCTCTGTGGCAGGGCCTGGATGTAGGATTTGGCCTGGAAGACAGAAAAGCATCAAATCCCTCAGGGCTCTGGCCTTAGCGTGTAGAGCAGGGATTTCAGAAAAGCCTCAGGGCAGGGCTGAAGGCTCAGGTCACGGTCCATGGTGAGATGAAGGTAAGAGCTCCTGCAGGGTAGGATGCTGTGGGAAGGTGCTGGCCAGCCTTCTTCCACAAAGGCCTCCAGTCCACCAGGCCCACGTCAGCCAAGCACACAGCCCAGGCCACCCTGGGTCCCATTTACCACCCACCGCTTTGTCTTTCAGCTTCTGCACGAACTCTGTGCCTGGTACCCCGGTCACTTTCAGGATCTGGGTCAGCTGGTCCAGGTCTTGATGGCAGGTTAAGGCTTAGCCTTGCTCTCCTTGTGGGTCTGAGACTGCCCCTCCCGCGACCCCACCATCACTCCACCCGGGCACTGTGGCAATGGGTTGTCCAGGCTCCAGCCCTGCCTAATCATCTCCAGCTCTCAGGAGGAGGCTCATTCTTCAGGGCTCAGGGCTCCAGAGGCCTTTCCAACATGGCAGGCTGAGCGGGGGTCCCTACTCAACAAATGCATGTGGATCATTCTTTTTTGTTTCCTTGTCTTCTGTCCAAAGGCCTGCCCTGCACACACAGGCACTCAGTTCATGTGTATGGTGCCAACATGTATTTTCCATAGTGGTAGAATTATAGGTGACTCATTTCTCACCATTTTGCTTATCCACGTTTTTTTTTTTTCCCCTTTTGAAACAGGGTCTTACTCTGTCACCCAGGCTGGAGTGCAGTGGCATGATCTTAGCTCACTGCAACCTCCACCTCCTGAGTTCAAGTGATTTTCCTGCCTCAGCCCGCTGGGATTACAGGTGTGTGCCACCACACCTGGCTAATTTTTGTGATTTTTGGCAGAGACAGGGTTTCACCATGTTGGCCAGGCTGGTCTCAAACTCCTAACCTCAGGTGATCTGCCCACCTCAGCCTCCCAAAGTGCTGGGATTACAGGCATGAGCCACCGCGCCCACCCGGCATTTTCTTTTTCTTTTTCTTTGAGTTAGGTCTCCCTCTGTCGCCCAGGCTAGAGTGCAGTGGCACAATCATAGCTCACTGTGGCCTCAACCTCCCAGGCTCAAGCAACCCTCCTACCTCAGCCTCTCTAGTAGCTGGGACTGCAGGTGCATGCCACCATATCTGGCTAATTAAAAAAAAATTTTTAGAGATAGGGTCTCACTGTGTTGCCATGTCTAGTCTCAAACTCCTGGGCTCAAACCATCCTCCCACCTCAGCCTCCCAAAGTGCTGGGATTACAGGCATGAACCACCTCATCTGGCCTTATCTGCACTTACAAATTATTCTACAGGGAGTATGTATCACTCTCACATTAAGGAAAAAAAAAAAAAAAAAAAAAAAGACAGTTATTTAAAGTGTCTGCTGAAGGAGGGAATCCCTAGATGGAATCTGGCTTTTCCAGCAAAGGATACAATCTTTCCCCTTGAACAAAGTTTTCCCTGTCAGCATCTCCGCCATGATACAGCCAACAGACCAGATGTCCACTGCAGAGGGAGGAAGAGTGTCACCTGGGCTGTCTGACCGGGACCCGGCAGTCAGTCAGCACTGAGCGACCAGATGGCCCCAGGACCGCCCTCTCAGGCATTGACCACTGACCAGTCTGGTTGTAGTGCATCCAGCTGAGGATCACCTCAGGGGCCCGGTACCAGCGGGTCACCACGTAGCCAGTCATCTCGACATCTGCAGGCCGCGCCAGCCCAAAATCCAGGATCTATGGCTCAGGGGATAAATGGAAAAGGAACTTGCAGAGGGGAGGAGGCTCTGGGAGCAGCTTCCAGAGGCTCCCCTCAGGGAGGGCCCATCCCGCCTCTGGGCTGAGCCTGTGGCCCACTCACCTTCAGTTCACAATCCTCATTCACAGCCAGGTTGCCCGGCTTCAGGTCCTGGGGTGGGGGGGACAGAGAGTGCGTGCTAGGCTGAGGCAGAGATGGAGCTGGTCTTAGCTCCACTACCACCCAGGGATGTGACTTCAGCCAAGCCCCTTCCCGTTCTGGGCCTCAGTTTCCTCATGTGTAAATAAGGGTTGGACTAGGTGTTCTCTTGGGGCCCATCCAGGTCTAAAATGTTCCTGCTTCTGGAAGCCTGAAACACTCAGCTCAGGGCTCACTGTGTCTGCAGCAATTCCCCCAGGAAGTCCCCTGGGACACAGTGACTCTTTGGAGCAGGCCTTCCTGGGCCATGGCTGGGTCTGAAAATCTCCACATTCTGTGCTCCTGGGAAGCGTCCTACCCCTCCACCTTTCCCACTCCTTCCCACCCCCCTTCAGACAGAGCATGGAGAGTGAAGTCAGCTCAAGGAGAAAGAGCACCCAGGAGACGATGCCCATCAAGAAGGAAGGGGCAGGAGCCTCCGGTGGCAGGTAGGGCTGGCAGAGGCCAGGCACAAAGACGGAGAAGGCAAGGAAGAGAGGCTGCGGGTGGAGGTGAGGCAGCCCGAGGCTTCCAGAGAGTCCCCCACCCGGGGATGGGATGGAGCCTCTGAGGACCATGGCAGAGAAAGCACTCACCCTGTGCACGACCCCAGCTGAGTGGATGTACTGCATGGGAGAGAGAGAAGGGTGAGTCCATGGCCTGGCTGCCACATCGGGCACTTCAGGCTGGCTCGGAAACCTCCGACCTGTAACAGTGCGCTCCCTTCCAGCCTCCCCAAACCTCAGGTCTCGACACCCCCTCTGCCACCCTCCAAGTCCCCACCCACCTTAAGGCCTTTGAGCATCTGATACACCAGGTACTGGATCTTATCCTCACTGAACTCCATCCCCATGATCTTCTGCAGATCCGACTGCATGAAGGGCATCACCAGGTAGCTGGAAGGCATGACGGCTTCTTGGAACAGTCCCAGGTCTCACCTCAGCCCCAGGTCTGAGCTCAGAGGAGGGGCCTCAGGGCAGAACAGGGGGGCCAAAGAGACGCCCTCCAGTGTACAAAAGCCAGCCCCACCTCAGCCAGCCAGACCACTGCGTGGGCCTTTGGGCTCCTGGCTCCCAGCCTCCCGTGGCGAGCCGCCCAGCTGAAAGTTGGAGCGTGCTCTGGAAAGTCGCATGGAACTGTTTCTGCTCTTCAAAGGTACTCTCTCCTTGCCCTCTTCCACACCCCAGGGGAAGCCACAGCTAGGAGTCAGAAAATCTGCCAGTATTTCCTTCGGCTTCTGTCCAAATACTGTATCCCTCATGCCCAGCTGAGATGCCCCCACAAACAAACAACATGTCTACCTTTCCAAGAAGGAAACCGTTTCCAGGAGGGTGGAAGGGGGAGACGGGGAGGCTATTGCAGCCTCCTAGGGGATTGTACAACAGAATGAGGCCAGCAAAATGTAACCGTTTCTCAATGTAGTAAAGCAAAGTCCAGGATAAAGACAACTAATAAAAATTATAAGATAGGCCAGGGGCCATGGCTCCCACCTCCAATCCCAGTTCTTTGGGAGATGGTGTCTGGACAATAGCTTGAGGTGAAGAGTTCAAGACCAGCTTGAGCAACACAGGCACCTCATCTTTCTTTCTTTCTTTTTTTTCTCTCTTTGAGATGAAGTCTTGCTCTGTCGTCCAGACTACAGTGCAGTGGAGCAATCTCAGCTCACTGCAATCTCTGCCTCCTGGGTTTTTTTTTTTTTTTTTTTTTTTTTTTTTTTGTATTCTTAGTAGAGATGGGTTTTATCATGTTGGCCAGACCTTAGGTCTCGAACTCCTGACCTTAGGTGATCTGCCCACCTTGGCCTCCCCAAAGTGCTGGCATTATAAGTGTGAGCGACTGTGCCTGGCCTGGACCTCATCTTTCAAAAAAAAAAAAAAAATTAGCCAGGTGTGGTGGCATGCGCCATTAGTCTCAGCTACTCAGGAGGCTGAGGTGGGAGGATCACTTGAGGCCAGGAGTTTGAGGTCAGGATGAGTAACATTGTGAGACCCCATCTCTATTTAAAAAAAAAAAAAAAAAAAAAAAAAGGCTGGGCACAGTGGCTCAAGCCTGTAATCCCAGCACTTTGGGAGGCCGAGGCGGGCAGATCATCCCGGCCAACATGGTGAAACCACGTCTCTACTAAAAATGCAAAAATTAGTTGGTTATGGTGGTGTGCGCCTGTAGTCCCAGTCACTCGGGTGGCTGAGGCAGGAGAATTGCTTGAACATGGGAGGCGGAGGTTGCAGTGAGCTGAGATTGTGCCACTGCACTCCAGCCTGGTGCCTGGCAACAGAATGAGACTCTGTTTAAAAAAAAAAAAAAAAAATCTGGACATGGTGGCATACACCTATAGGTTCACCTACTCAGGGGGCTGAGGCAGGAGATGGCTTCAGCCTAGGAGTTGGAGGCTGCAGTGTTTGTGCCACTGCACTCCAGTCTGGGGGACACAGCCCTATCTCTAGAATATCATAAATTTAAAATTTTTAAAAAGTTACCTTAAAAAATTATAAAATAGATTTTTTTTTTTTTTTTTTTTTTGAGACGGAGTTTCACTCTTGTTACCCAGGCTGGAGTGCAATGGCGCGATCTCGGCTCACCGCAACCTCCGCCTCCTGGGTTCAGGCAATTCTCCTGCCTCAGCCTCCTCAGTAGCTGGGATTACAGGCACATGCCACCATGCCCAGCTAATTTTTAGCATTTTTTTAGTAGAGACGGGGTTTCACCATGTTGACCAGGATGGTCTCGATCTCTTGACCTCGTGATCCACCCGCCTCAGCCCCCCAAAGTGCTGGGATTACAGGCTTGAGCCACCGCGCCCGGCCAGATTTATTTTTTTGTAAAGGACATGCTGGAGGCATCTCCAGGAGACTTTGGGTGTTGGCAGCCCTCTCCTGCCTGACCACACACCTCCCTCGGGGCCCTCACCATGCCTGGTCCCCTGCTGTGTCTTTCACCTCCACTCAGGCACTGGTTCTTCCATCTTGGCGACAAACTTCCTGAAGCCTCTCTGTGCTACAACCACATTCCCTTTATTTTGCTTCTTCAACTGACCACCCCTTCTCCCTCTCTCACCACCAAACTTCTAGAAAGGGTGGTCCACACTCCTGGACTCACTCACTGCCTTAACTCCCAGTCCTGAGTTAACCCGGTTTCTGCTTCCCTCCTACTGCCAGACCACTCAGCTCAAGGTCACCAGTGAATACCCGACAAACATACCACGACTCTCTTTTCTTCTTATCTGACCTTTGGTCAAGCCGGAAACTCCCTCTCAATTCTCTGCTGACTCTCCTCTGCCTCCGATCAGGCCCCCTCAGCTTCTTCCACCTGCGGATCCTCTTGGATCTTCTCTTTCGTGTTGATATCTGAATCAACACTATCTTACCACGTTCTACAATTACCCGTTCCCGGGCATCAGCTATCACCCATAGGTGATTATTCCAGCGCAAATCCGCATCCCTAGCCCAGGCCTTCTTTTCCTGAGGTTCATATTTATTTGCGACTGTGATTAAGCATCGGAATGAATGTTCACAGACTCTTTAAAAGTAAAGTGTCTAAATGGAGCTCATTATCTTTCTCCCAAGACTCGTTCTTCCCCCACTTTGTATTCCAAGCAGGAACCTGCACATCCCCCCACCTCTGCCACCTCCCTCAGCTACTGCACCCCAACAGACTGAACATTGTGTCGGCCCTGCCTCCCAAATGGGGCCTCAAGTCTGCTCTCAGTGTCCCATCACCTCTACTTTAGATCCTGGTCTGGGTCACCAATGCTGACCTCCAGGCTCTCCCTCTGCCCCAGAGCTGCTTCCTACTCCTTTCTTGCTGCTACCCAAGTGCACCCCCCAAATCCCATCTGAACACATCACCTCCCTGCTCAAAATCCCCAGGTCTAGGATCAGTCTAGACTCAGCCTGGCCAAGCCAGCTGCTGGCCTCCACTCGCCACACTGACTTCTCCATCTTGTCCAAATAGTCCAGTCTCATTCAGACACTGCACAGGCAAAGCTATACATTTTGCAACTGAATGTTCTGGTTCTGTGACATTCTCTCAAACACACCCATCGGCTAGAGGCAGCCAAGGCTTCTTAATCCTTGCTTCATGCTAGAAAGAGTTCCAAGGTCCAGACTTGCGTCTGTGTCCCCAGGAAAGGCAAGTTGGTGCTAACCCTGTGAGGACTGGCAGATGTGTCTTCCTTGTTAAGTCTAGGTAAAAAGCAAAGTAGCTGTGTGGACTGCTCCCTGCCAGTCAAGCACCCCACAAAGTCCTTCCTGCCTTTTCCTGTCTGCCTTTGGCTAAAACCATCTTTCCAGAGAGAATCACACTTGACAGGCAAAGGCACAGGACTGGCAGGGAAGGAGGCTCTCCCTACCACACCCGAAACAGAGACCCTGGACCTACCCCCACCTTGCTCCCCAGCCCCGCTGATGCCCCCAAAACCAGTGCAGCTCAACTCACAAGTCGTGGAAGTTGCGCAGGGAGGATGCTGGGGTGAAGACATCCAGGAGCCCAATGACCTGGGGAAGAAGTCACCTATGAGGGCTAGAGAGATGCTACCTTCTCCTCCCACCGCCTCCTGGGCTCAGGCCATGCACAGGGCCATTCCCTCTTTCCTAATACACCACCTCCAGCAGGAGGCAGGTCTCCAACCTTCTTGGAAGCAGTAAAAAGGGCAGAGGCCTAGAGGAATCCCCTGGATTTGGAAGGAGTTTGCAATAAATGGCGACAGAGAGTCCAGCTGGAGCGAAGGGAAGGTGCGGAGAAGAATGAGGTGTGCTCATTGATCTCAAGTCTGGTATTCAGGGCAAGCAATGAGACCCACTCTCAACTCACATAGGCAGCGGGAAAGCCTGAAGGGAGGGTGGAAGGGAAAAAGGAGGGAACAGGGAAGAGGCTTTCCAGCCAGCAAACTCCCTGCCCCTGACCTTGGGTCTACAGCCACATCCATCCTTGCCTGCCACAGGGCTCGTTCAGAGCCAATGGCAAGGTCGCCCTGGCTGGAGGCCAGAAGGAAGGGGTTTGCTGGAAAGGGATGGGCTTAAAATGTACATAACATTTTGAAATCAGTCTTTGTAATGTCTGCCCTCCGATCTAGGTATCCTGGAGCAAAGCCTGGCTGCCAGGCCCTGAGCTGGGTCCCTGGTTTTCCCAGCTGCTTCTATCAGACATGATAGTCATATGCTCAGAGCCGGAGCCATGCTGCCTAGATTGAAACCCCAGCTCTGGTACTGACTTAACCACCTAACCTGTGAGCCTTGCTGGGCTTTAGTTTCCCCATCTGTGACAAGGAAGCAATAGTATTCCTACATCACCAGGACTAGACAAGTTCGTGTATGCAGAGCTCTTAGATCACAGGAAGCGCTATGTGTCCATTGCTGTTGTTGTTATCAGGGTCAGATGGACACGACACTAACCAGGATTCTAGTCCCAGCTGGCCACGAGCTCTCAGACAGGGAACCAATTACAAAGTTCTCCTGTGCCCATTTCATCGGGAGGATGAGACAGTCTGTACCTCACAAAGTGCATTCTGCCAGAAATACCCTTTGACCCCTTCCTGGAAAGTGAGCAGGGCAGGTCCCGGCACCCTCTCCTTTCAATACTGAGGTGAGAGGCACCATCAGGGGAGCAGGCAGGAGACTGTCCCGAACTCTCCCTCTCCGCTCTCTGTACCGGGAGGCCCCGCCTGCGCCGCCCCTGACTCCCCAGGGCAGCCCCCGCCCCCCTCCCCCAGGCTGCCGCCGCCGCCTACGTTCTCATGCTGCATGTGCTTCAGCAGCTGCAGCTCCCGGTAGGCGCGCTTGGCGAAGATCTCGGACTGGAAGGGCCGGCTCAGCTTCTTGATGGCCACCTTCTCCCCTGACCGCTTGTCGATGGCCGAGCTGTCGGGCACAGGCAGGTCAGCAGGCGAGGCTCTCCTCCTGGGCAATATCTCCCAGGCCGCTCTCACCCCTCCCGCTGGGCAGCTGGGCTGGGAGGGGGACGACGCCCGCCACCTAGAATATGGGGGAGCCGCGGGGCGCAGGGCAGGGGGTGGGAAGCCAGGCAGGAGCCGAGAGAGGGACACAACGCTGGGGGCAGCAACGTCTCCTCGCGACAGGATCTCCCCGGACGGGCGGGAGGCTCAGTCTCCCTGCCACTTGGCGAGCCACCTCTCCATCTTGGGGCCTCAGTGTACTCGTCTGCAACACGGAGGATCTGCCCGATGTACTCCAGGGCCTTGCAGGGGTACAGTCCTGGAGAGCCAGGCCCAGTCCCAACTCAACCCACAGAGACCTCACACAGCCGCCCGGTGAGAAAAGGGAGATGGCGGCTGGGCCGCCCCGGGGAGGGCGCTGGGCCTTGAGATTCTCGGTACAAGCGGCGCTGGCGAGGGGCCCGCCCAGGGCGGCCGGGACGGAAAGGGGAGCCCACGGCGCCCGCCCCGCCTCCCGCCGCGCCCCCCGCGCCTCCCGCGCCCCCCGCGCCCCTCGCGCCCCATTGGCCCGAGGGTCTCACCACACGGCGCCATAGGCCCCGCTGCCGACGTGCGTCGGGGACACGTAGGTCTTGGGCAGCTCCCAGACGGTCTTGTTGACGTCCTGCTTGTAGAAGCCCTTTTTCCGGATGAGGCTCATCCCGGGCACCCGATCTCCGCGGCCCCGGCGTGGCGGCTGCGTTCGCGGCCCAACGGGCTCCCAGCGCCCCGGCCCCCGCCGCGCCCGCCCCGCGCCGCCCGCTCCTCCCCCGCGCGAGGGCGGGGGCCCCGGGGCTGCGACGCTCCCACCTGCCGGCTCGTCCAGGTGCGCCAGGGCCGCCACGCCCGGGCCTGCCCAGCCCTGCGCTCCCGCGCTTCCGCCCGGCCCGACGGAGCCACCGCGGCAGGTCGCCCAGGCACCGGGTCGGGGCTGCCCTGCGGGACCCCGGTGCCTCCCGGCCGAGCGCGGGCCAGCGGCGGGGCTGATGGGTCCCAGCAGGAGCCGGGAGGCAGCGCTTCCCAGCTCCCCGCAGCCCCGGATCTCCGCAGGAAGAGCTCCCCGGGACTCTGAAGACACAGGAAAGCAAAGCAAAACCCCACAACCTCTTCCTTAGGGAACATGTCAAACATGCAGGAAAGAGGCGAACAGAGTAAGCCAGCGCTTCTCACACTTGAGTGTGCGCAGGAAGCTCCCGGGCATTTTATTCGATTAAAATGCAGATCCTGACTCGGTAGGTCTGGGGTGGAGCCGAAATTCGGCATTTTCTAGCCAGCTCCCAGATCAGAGGCTTCTGGACCACGTCTGATAAGAGGTTCTCATGAACCCCCGTGACCCCACTTCCTCAGCAACCTCAACTCATAATCGGTTTTATTTCGTCTACATTTGTCTCCCACCATCGATTTGAAGCAAAACGCAGACGTCATATCATTTTATTCATAAATATTTTTGTATCTCTAAAAGGTAAGGATTAAAAAAATATATCCACAATACATTCTTAGACCTAAAATTAATAGCACTAATTCTATAATGGCAAATATTCATGCAGGTTCAAATGTGCAGTTTTTGTTGTTGTTTGTTTTTTTGAGATGAAATTTCACTCTGTCACCCAGGCTGGAGTGTAGTGGCGCCATCTCAGCTCACTGCAACCTCTGCCTCCCGGGTTCAAGCCATTCTCCTGCCTCAGCCTCCCAAGTAGCCGAGGCTAACAGGCCACGCCACCATGCCTGGCTAATTTTTGTATTTTTAGTAGAGACAGGGTTTCACCATGTTGGCCAGGATGGTGGTCTCCAACTCCCGACCTCAGGTGATCTGTTCACCTCAGCCCCCTAAAGCGTTTGGATTATAGGCGTGAGCCACCGCGCCCAGCCCAAATGTGCAGTTTTGAACACAGTTTCTGTGGGCTTCCTAAGGCCCTTCAAGGACAATGACAAATCGGGGCCCTTGCCCCCCGTCTGGTGGCCTATGCAGCCCAAGGGAGATTCTATGCTCAAGTCGCAGAGGTCTCTGAGCAACAAAGTGGGGATGTCGGGGGAGGAAAGGGTACAAGGGCCCTGGATGCCCAGCCTTGTCCAACCCCTCTCTGGCCCAGGCATGGGGCTGTAGAAGGGGCGGGACCACTTGCTTCACTTAGTCAAAGGGATAGAAAGTGTATTGTACAAGGAAAGAAACTTGCTAGGGGCTTACAGCAAGCTGGGGGTCCACACTAGGGAGTCTGCAGCCCCCAAACTCTGTGCCCCAAACCCTCCCGGGCAGTCCTGCAGCATGGGACACAGCCTGGAAGACCATTCTGGGGTGAGGGTGGGGTGCAGGCTTCACCCAACAATGCGCGCTTTTATTTCAGGCGGGCAATCTGTCTTTTTCATTTCTGACATATGGCAGGAAATCAATAAATGTGTGGAGAATGAATGGAGGAGTCAGCCCATTAGATGTGAAAGAGTTATTTAATAAACACTTATGTTTGCCATGTGCCAGTCATTAAGTGTTTTATATAACTCACTTAATCCTGCTAAGAGGCCTATGAGTCAGTACTATGATTGTCCTCATTTTAGAGATGAGGAACCTGAGGTACAGAGAGGCTAAGTAATTTTCTCAGGGTAACACAGCTGGTAAGGGCAGCGCTGGGTGAAAGCAAGTATAGCCTGGTTCTAGGGTCCCCGCTCTTGGCTGTGAGGCTATGCAGTGGCTTCAAGTTGAGAGGATTGCTCCTCAAAGGCAATGGCCCTGCCCACATCATAAGGACATGTCTACTGATCAGACTGTGTCTCCCTCAGCCCATCCTGCCCTGGCGTATCTGATATTTTCCCCAGGCTTTTCCCTCTCTCACTCCCTGCTCTGGCCCTGAGACCCATGGGAGCCTAAGCAACAGGGTTTTGTGCCTGGGGGTGCTGCAGGAGTTTTGGACCTTTGGGTTCGGTGGCACCAGTGCAAGGTACCTTGATCTGTAGTTGGGGTGGGGTCCTGGAAGTCTGATTTTAGGCTGGACGCAGGCAAAAGAAAGGGAGTGATCTGGGAGACTCAGGTTTTCTTGGTTTGAGGATCCAGTAAAAAGGAGCTAGGATGTGGCAGCAGGTGAGGTTGGACCCTGTCGGCCGCACGTCTTCAACACCACAGCAGGGCAGAGGTGAGCCCGGGACTGTGGGGATACCCAGAGCGTGCTCATTGCCCAAGTGGATGCCATCTCCCGAGGACACGAGCAGCCACTCGGGCTGTGGCTCCAGTTGCTGTTGAGCAAGGGTCAGGAAGTGACTCAGGCCTCGACTCTGCTGACACTGACCCCTACTCTGGGCCTGACTGACCCCACGTTACTCAGCAGCCAGGCAACCTGGGGGGAGCCCTTGGAGGATCCATTCGGGGAGTCATGAATGGGAGGGGAGGAGGAGAGGGTCACTCGGGTCATCCTGGATGCCCTGCCTCCTCAGCCTGAGGCTGTCTCTTTTTGAGTTCCAAGGGCCCGCTTCTCCTTTCCAGACACCAACCCAACCAAGTTTGTCTTGTTGATTTCTGCGCTATGAATGTGGAGGCAGGGGTTCAAGAAATCAGCTTTGGAATGAGGCCTGCATTTGCATCCCTTCTCTGTCATTACCTGCCGTGTGACCTTGGGCAAAGTTTGGTCCCCTCTCTGAGCTTCAGAGTCCTCCTTGTGAAATGGGGATACTATTAAAGTATGACAAGCGTATTGAAAAGGCCTTAGGATTGTATCATTTCAGGTGTAGGATAAGTATATTCCTCACAACAACCCATTGAGGTAGGAACCTTCAATGCCTCCAACCAGAGATCACCAGAAACACACGTGTGGGTGAAGAAGCTGAGCAGATGACTCCTTGCAGTGAGGGAGAGCATGCACCGTGGGGATCACGGTCGTCCCAGGAAGGGTCATTAGAAAGGATTTAGTCTAATGCTGGAGTTGTGTTAGGCGATTTGGGAGGGGTGAAGGAAGCGGGGCTTTGTTCTGGGTTGATGCTGTCAGGAGTGGGGGTGACACTGTGATTGGGAGTCTTGATGCGTCTTGCCTAGAAGGAAAGCAGAGTAGAGCAAGGCTGAAGCTACTACAGCTGCTCAAGCAGCAGCCTCCACTCAGCTTAGCTCTATGGGAGGATTTGGGTCATTTCTGTGGTTTGGACAAAATTCATGTTTTGTCTGTGTTCTGATGTGATTATAGAGTAGTTTCACTTCTCTCTTGGTCTGTCCTGGTCAGGGATGGCCTTGTTCGCTGCTGATGTCTGTGAAATCATCTATGTTTAGCACAGCAAGACCGAATTGCGCCAGGCTGGACAGCTCCGAGCAACCAAGTCCTGGCTGATGGGACCAAGCAGCTCCCAGATGTCAGGGCTGCTTTGGTCTATTTCAATATGATCATTCCCCTAGTACACAGGGAGCGAACTGAGGCGCAGACAGGTTAAGTAATTTGCCCAAGGTCACACATAACTAAGAAAGTGGTGAACATGATCTTCATTCCCGGCATCTGGCTCCTAAGTCTGCACGTTTAACCACGAACTAGAATGCCTGGTGCCCAGCAAGTGCCTGAGAAGGGGCTGTTGTTGTACTGTCTTCCTAACTAGTCTGTGATCCTCTGGAGGCAGAGACATGGTGTGGGGATTGATGACTGGTTTTTTAGAGACTGAGGCAAAAGCCCCACATAACTATGAGGCTGTCGCATCCTCCATCCTGGTCTCTCGGACCCCATCTTGCCCCAGGAGCACAGCAGCCACCCTCTCTGTTCCAAATGGCAGGACGAGCATGAACATCCTCACGAGTCCTCTAAAGATTTGAGAAAGCGTGACACATCCGGGGTCCTCTGAGGGTGGGACAGGCCAGGGAGTCCTAGAGCTCTGGCCCCAGCTCTAGAGATTCCCATGCTCTTTGGGGCTTTCAGAACTCCATGAAACAAGCAAAACTGCAAGGAGGCAGAGAGACGCAGAAGAAAGACTGCACATGTTGGGGGCTCTGTGGCGTGGTGAGCTGTGTGATTTTAGACAAGTTAGTTGGCTCCTCTAAGCCTCAGTTTTCTCATTTGTAAAATGGGAGTGGGTGATAAGACCCACATCACAGCGCTGTTGTGAAGACTAAAAGAGATGACTCGAGGGCCGGGCGCGGTGGCTCACGCCTGTAATCCCAGCACTTTGGGAGGCCAAGGCGGGTGGATCACGAGGTCAAGAGATCGAGAGTGTCCTGGTCAACGTGGTGAAACCCCGTCTCTACTAAAAATACAAAAAATTAGCTGGGCATGGTGGCATGTGCCTGTAATCCCAGCTACTGAGGAGGCTGAGGAAGGAGAATTGCCTGAACCCAGGAGGCGGAGGTTGCGGTGAGCCGAGATCGCTGCCATTGCACTCCAGCCTGGGTAACAAGAGTGAAACTCCATCTCAAAAAAAGAGATGACTCGAGAAGCGTCCAGTTCAGCCTGGCACACAGTAGATCTCGCCAGAGGCTCCTTCCCCAGTGGACTGTGTCAGCTCTGCCTGGGTACGCCAGCTGCCCGACCCCAGCCACTGCTCTTTGGCTGTCCAGTCCCTTCCCCAGAAATGATCCCCTCAGTGAGAGTCAGCTTAAACTCACATCCAACTCCTCTATTAAGTTTTTTTGCCAGATACTCAGCATAAGGATTCATTGACCCATTTATTCAACATATATTTGTTGGCCAGGTGTGGTAGCTCACGTCTGTAATCCCAGCATTTTGGGAGGCTGAGGCAGGAGGATCACTTGAGCCCAGAAGTTTGCGACCAACCTGGGCAATGTGGTAAAACCCAGTCTCTACTAAATTAAAAAAAAAAAAAAATTT